CGGTAGAGAGGGAGATAAGAGATGAGGGAGATGTGAAGAGGAGAGAATGTAAGGAGTGAACCGAGTGGGAGATGGTGCGATTACACATAAGAGGTGCTGATGCAAACTATAGAAGGCTGAAGCATCTCGGCACACTTGTGTGGTCATGGTTTTTCCCTGCATTATAAGACTGACCTCCATCCCTGAGACGAGAAAGATGGATAGCATTGTGTAATGATAAGTGGTGTGTCAGGGCTGCAGCTTGAAATGTTGTCTAATGTTGTTTAATCCCTAATTAAATTGTTTTATCTTGTCTCAAACATAATTTGATCTTTTTTAATACAGGTCACCTCATTATGTTCTGTTTATACCAGGAATATAGAGCCCCAGTATCACATCAGGCATGTGTGGTTGTGAGATAAACAGCAGTGATTCATTTTGGTACTGTCATCCATGATGGTGATAAATTGCAGTTTTTATAATCCAAACACCAACACCGTTCCTGTTAACAGCTCTGTGTCCAGCTAAACCCTTCCCTCCACTCTTTCTTTTATCGTATTTCTTTGCCACAGCCTCCCTTGTTTGGTAAATAAAGCCGATTTTGAATGGGCCAGCTGACATCCCATAGATGCTGATGTGGGTACTGGGTGTGCAAAACGCTGAGAGGCCTTATGTAACCACTTTTATTTTCCATTACTAGCTTCATTGCTGTCTGACCTAGATTGCATCAGCCAAGGGAGGCAGAGGCAGAACAAGGGGATGTTAGTAATTGTGTGTGTGTGTGTGTGGTTGCTCTTGGGTGTAACTGAAGGATAGAGGGAGGGCGCTGAGGATGGTGGGAGGACATTTCAATAAAGGGGTAGCCAAGCTGTGGTGCAATTGATTTCTCCTAATCATTGCGGTCCCATTTATGAAATCCTATGAACTGACAGAAACAGAACAGACCTCACTGACAGCTAACATCCTCAACTCTACTGTCCAAGGACGGCCATCTTGAGACCTACTAGCCAACTTTACAAACGCCTTTGTATATATTTGTCTCTTTCTCTCTGTTAACTCTCTTCCAATTACCTCTAAGAGACACTGCAGTGGAGGATAAAGAATAGAATAGAAGAATCTGTCTGAATTATGGCGATCGGCATGGGGCAGCAACACTCTGCCTATTCTCCTCCTTAGCACTGAAAGCACTTCCTGCACATCTATATCCCTGACATTGTCAGGTATGTGAAGCTGAACACACAGTCACACAACTGCTGACACAGAGGGACATGTCATCTGAAAATAAAGCTGGACAGATAGTTGGCTTAGACAACTGGTCGACAGTTGGCAGAAAAGGGAGGGAAGTGGGCAACAACAGCGCTGATCTGTTTTGAAATGAGCAGTAATGGATGCCTATTTAATCCCTCATCTGCCTGTAACAGAGGTTTTATCACTGAAGTCGTGCAATGAAATGCTGATGCACAGTTAGGGTTCCATTTCCCCAGAAGTTAAATCAGTGGCTAAACCTTCTGAAGCCCCGTACCTGTACTTGTCTTGAATTAAAACTGAATTTGGAAAGATGTGTAGCTTTTACCGTTCTGCATCTTGGACTAACAGTTGCAGGTTTTGTGGTTGATTAAAAATGGTGATGTGAACAGGAATCATATTAAACCTCATTATTAAAATGCTTCCCTCTCGCTTTTGTCAATAAAATTTAGTAAAATTTGATTTGATTTAATTGATCAGCCACCTTGGTTTCCCAGTTAATTAAGCTTGAGGTGAATACTCAATGTGTCCAGTGAATATATTTTGGCATCCCAGACACAAAGTGACACAAATGTTTATGATCTTGCAGGAACTGTGACAGAGTTCTCTTTGCACTGTAACTGAGGTCCCTTTTCAGGATTTAACACGTTAGATGAATTTTATAGCCAGAAACTCCTACTAATATTACTAATATCTCAGCAATGTGGTTGAAGAATAATCAGTTATAACGAATTAAAAGAGATACAATAGCACAAAACAGTTTCTTCATTTGGCATCATCCTTAAAAGAGAATGTATTTATTACTGATAAATGAGATAGCAGTAACACATAGCTATTAATGTTGTGGATAAATCAAGCACTGACCGTCAGCGTCCACCTCATTGATCATGTCCTGCAGTTCAGCCTCTGTGGGGTTCTGGCCCAGCGACCTCATAACGGTGCCAAGCTCTTTGGTAGTGATGGTGCCGTCACCATCCTTGTCGAATAAGGAGAAAGCCTCCTTGAACTCTGCAGAGGTGGAGGTAAGAGTGAAAGCTTAGCTTACTGCTGCTGTGCAGTTACGCAAACTGGTTATGTGAGGATACTGCAGCCAGGTCCAAAAAATTAACGGATTCTTGTTTGCCATGTGACTACAGGGGCTGTGTTAGTTCAGCTCATGCTTGTCTGTAAGATGGCGTGGGCGTAAACAAAACTGAAGTTGCAAATGTGCTGAGCTCTGAAACCATACAGATCTTACATCACCTGTGAAAGAAATGGCATGAGGCTGAAAAGGCAAAAGGCTTTCACTATAAGAACAATGAGTGCATCAATTGGCTGCTTATACGACTAAGCCACAGAAACCCATCCAGGGAACTGCAGGCAATATTCAGCATCAACTTTGGAGGCTTAGCACAAGCTAATTATCCACATAAGGGGCTTGACCAAGAAGAAATTGTATAACCTCCGGTTTTGTTACAGAGCGCACATAATTTATTTATCAAGAATGTCAAGGTGCCTGAATGAAACTATTTGTAGGAAAAGTGAAAAACGGTCTATACACCTTAAGGGTTTCAGTCCTGACTCATGACATGCTGTAATTTCTTCTCTCCAATACTTCCTGTTCATTTTTGAAAAGCTAATAATCTACCAAGGGAGGGTGGGTCCCAAATTCTTCAAAAGTCGGTTTCAATTCGTGTCTATATATATATGTAACATGAAAACCAGCCACCGTCTACAGAGTGGAACTGACCCACCAGCAACCAGTAAATATGTGAAGAAAGGACTTGGCTGTGAGGGAAGTAAAGAAGGAAAAAATCCCACTCTTCCTACCTGCAATCTGCTCCTCTGTTAGTTGGTCAGCCTGTAGTGGGGGGAAAACAGAAGCGGGGGAGAGTTACAAACAAACAGCTTATTCAACAAGGCAATTATTCCAAATCCTAAACTGTTTCATCATTACATTCTAGGTGATCCCTACCCACCAGACACAACCCAGCTTAACACTGACCACAGTGTTCAGGGGTTTGTTGGCCATCACCAGAGGCCTGGACTGGAATTTACTCTTGGAGCTGCCAAGATTTACCAATGACAATAACCCAGATTAACTGATAGCTACAATAGCTAGCGTCCAATCCACTGGGGAGTGTGAATCAGCAAATACAATTATTCTAATATCTGTAACATAAGATTTCCTTTACATTTCTTCCCTAAATGGTATTTTAAAATCTAAGCTCTCTTCAAATGACTCTGCTTCTATCCTTTAAATGCTTTAATGCCAACTGGAGTCTTTCTCAACTCCAGTCTGACTCTTGTATTAGAAACTATATTGATGATGATAGTCAATTATGCAACTTGGCTCATACTGATAGAGGCGTATTTAGATGTGTTTAAAGGTTATGTGTGTGATTGTGGTGACAGACTTCTAGAAAGCTAACACAGAAGGTTTGACAAAGTTAATGCATGAAGTTAAACTTCCAGCCGATGAGTGGGATTGTACAAAAGTAGGCTATACTGTGGCAGTCCTTGGAAGAGGGACTGCTGGGCAATAAGATAGTGTAATAAAATGGATGAAGTGCTGTCTCTAGACAGGTGGGTTTGTTTCAGGACATATCGCTATAGGAGTATTTTCCATGGTCCTACCAACAGGAAGACAGGCCTGCTGGGCTGCCCTGGTGCTTCCCCTCCCAACTTGTTCCCTCCACTAACTAGGACTCGAATGGCTGATAGTGACTCACACAAGCTTTAAATGGCTCGGAAGCCAACATCCGCTGCCAGGCTTTTCACATAGATAGATCAGGCTTCTTTGTTAAAGAAGCCAGTGATTTCAGACTAACTCCCTCAGCAGTGAAGTGTGAATACAGAGCTTGCGGTGCACATAACTCCCACAGGTACCCCCTGTCATCTGTGCTTTAGAAAAAAAAGGAGTTTGTTTTTTTATTGTTAACAGACCACAATGACATTGTACTTGGCACCTAAGAAATAGCACACACAGCAGTCACAGACAAGTACATATACTCGCACACTAACATACATTCATGCAAACTCTAGCACACGCACGCACACAGAGCCTCACTTAATGGCATTCTTCCTCAACACCAATAGTTTCCCTCCCCATGTTTCTAGTGAATTAGTCAGACTGGCCAGTTCTGCCTCAGAGCAAACTGCTGTAGCCCATCAGTGCTTTTACGTGTTTGTAAAAGCAATCTAGTTTTGGATACAACCAAGCACACATCCGCTATCAGTCGTCATCCTTAAATCCAATGGCTGTGGAACCTGAACCTCGTTAAGCATGTTTGGAGGTGAGGGTATTTCATTTTGTAAATTAGATGTTTCATAATGGCTAGATTTGGTTAGACTGGATAAGATTGAGCAGACACACTGCGCACTTGACCTTTATCTTTTCAAAAACAAAAGGCTTCTCCTTATGGCCTGAGTAGCAGCAGCCCACAGGAGGATTGACCCAGCCACAGGCACGGATAACTTCAGCAGCTCTCATACAATTAGCTGACAGGATTCAATAACCTGCTCCGCACACAACAGCGCTTGCTTTTCTGCTCCCTCCTTTCACCCTCTTCCTGTCTCCATTTCTATCTGTGACAGAGAGAAATGTCACGAGACAAAACAGTGCTGTTGATGCTAACATGCCGCCCAGCTTGACCGATATTTTCATTTTCACCTTTGTATTTTCATCTGCCATTTTCCTTTGTCCCTCTTATCTCTTTAGTTGTCCTCACGTTAATCTCTGTTGATGAGTCTCCCTTTCTGTCTTGCATCGGACACCGGTCTATGTCATGTTGTGTCATTCCTAGGTTTGCAAAGGGGTGGAAAATTTTCAGAGACTTTGCATGGGAATTTAATCCTGGAAAATTTGGAAATATTCCAACTTGGAAACTTTCCATGGGAATTAACAGGAATATATGGGAATTAATTTGAAATTTGTGGTTATTTACACAAACTGTACCATATACAAACATAAATATAAACATTTGGTTTGGTCATAAGCAGACATGCATGCAAACTTGTACAAATTTTAAAAACGACATTTTTGACTTAGATTTATTTCTGAGTAGAACTTGAATGTATTTTGTCATTGAACAACAAAAATGCATGAATGTTGAATAAAATAAACATATTACCTATGATTCCCCCCACCCCAATGTAAAATTCCATTCATGTATGTAAATGTAAAAAAAAAGCAACAAAAAAAAAAACTGCCATTAATGGGTTCTGCATTTTTCCTTGCAATCCTTTCAGCCTTTCAAGTCTCTTCATCCTCCATGTCTGTTTCCTAGCTAGCTACTGTACAAAAACACATTTTGATTTAGTGTTTCCCAGTTAAACTCCATAAATACCATAAATCAAACATATTCACCCTAGTAATCAAACCTATTTGACTGGATGTAGTCCTTGGACTCCAATGCAGCAGTGTGGTTTCAGTAGTCCTGCTATAGTATGCAGGATTCTAGAAATTATCTTTACATATGATTGAGGACTGCACAGTGTATGCAGGGGGCATGACCTCTGTAGCCCTGCAGTGAGTAGTGTGCTGTGTGCGTGTGATTGAGAAATGCACAGGGTAGAAATGTGACTGAATTAGCATCAAATCTGATTATGCTACAAGGTGTTTTTTTCCCCCCAACTACATTTCAGTTCCCTCTTTATCGGCTAATCAGCAGTTTTGTAAATTTCCAGTTTATCCCCATTAATTCCCATAGAAAGTTTCCAACTTTGAAAATTCACATAATTTTGCGACCCTAGTCACTCCTGTTGTAGCTTTGCTGCCTCCTTCTGTCTCCTGCTGTCTCTCCAAGCAGACTGGGTGTGGGGTTAGGTGACTCAGTGCTATGGATCCTCCCCTGGCTTAAGCCCAAGTTGCCTGGGCCTCACAATGCTGATGCACCACAAGGCCGTCTACCGGCCCATCCCTATCATCTCTCCTTGGTCTTTGTTTTTTACTGGCACTTGGACTTCAGCCAATACCAGCTCCTCCTCCTCCTCTTCCAGACCTTTCCCCTCTATGTGTCTCTTTTTCCCTATATATATGGAATATACTGTTCAGAGGAAACTCCCTGTGATTCACCATCCATAGTGTCTTATGCACAAGGCTTTTTGCTGCCAGGCTCCCAGTCTTAATAACAACTTGTAGAGGACAGGGAGTGTGTGTGTGTACTGTATGTGTATGTTTAGGGATGGGACGGGTGCTCTGCATCACCATGCCAGTGGTCCACTGGCATGGTGATGTCGACCACTCCCACTGTTGCCTAGGCAGCCAGACCCAGCAATGTGTTCCAAACAGGACTGTAGGAGACAGAAGGCAGTTCACTGGGCCAGTGAACATTATCTTTTGCTCTCACTTGATGCCATATCACACTTGTACAAACAAACAAAGCTTAATTTGATAGGGGATGCAAAATGGTGTGAGAGAATGCCAACAGTGGTTTTCTTCTTTGGCAATGCTTTACAGGCCTTTTTCATTTGCTGATCTGTCGCTGTGAGGTGCCCAAACAATTCATGAAGGAGCTTCTCTATATTCAAGTTAAAGGTGCAAAGCCAGCTATCACTCTGACAGATGTGTGACACACACACCCACACACACTTCTATTCAGCATGACGCAAGCACAAACACAAAGAACTGTTGTCACACACACACACACACACACACACCCTTTCTATAACAGCACTGAGCTCCACAGAAATGCTGGACAAAAGACAGTGAGGCTTCAGGGCCATGCTGGAGGGGAGGAGGGATAAAGGATGGGTGTAAACAACACCAGCTTCCCTGTACCAGTCCACCATATGGCCTGGGGGTGGTAAGTGGCTGGGTGCTCCTCTGCACCACAAAGAGCACTTTATTGCTCCTGGACACTGGAAACATGGGACATGGCTAGGTGTTGCCGCCAAGCATATGAATTATTAATTGCAGCAGATCAGATGTCCTTCAAGTTACTAAACATGCATCAGCAAACAAGAGCGTAACAGCAATAAGATAAGGCCTTAGCATAGTCCGACTATGCATCTGATACTTTCGCCACAATGCAGGAGGTTGTTTCCACTTCAGTGAGTGTATTGATGCTGACAAGCAGCCTATACCTGTGGATTAAACTTTAGAGACACTGATATGCAAGCTAACGCCATAACAATTCCACTTTAAACACCAATTACTGCACGGCACTGCAATGTGAAACTGCATTGTAGCTTGATACCATATATGGGCTATTTGATTACAGCAGAGGGGGAAATGAGGTATAAGAGTTATACTTGGGCTATTAATGGTCTATCAAGCTTGATAAACAGTGGATTCGCCTCAAGGCCTCTTTTCCACATCCAAGCTCATTTCCACTTGGTGACTTCTCCATAAGTAAAGTATCTGGGGGGTGGGGGGGTTAAAATGAATGACATGCTAAGGTGCATGTTTAGCTATACATTTTGCAAGTCGCTGTGGCCTAGTGGAACCTTATGGTTCAACAGATTTTAAGTTGTTACATAATAATACATTGCTTTATTAAACATAAGCTGTAGAGTAGCATGACAGTCCTGTAATTTTCATATTTCAGAGTATTTGGTCTTGTACTGATTTGGAAGAAATCAACAAAATATAATGCTGTTGATGTTTTGTGGTAGCCAGTGCCAGAAAGAGCTTCTTTGACAACTCACACGGGTCTCACATTTGCATAACATCGAAAATTTGCAAAGAGGCAACCAAATCAGCAGACATAAACCAGATAACACCGCCTAAGATAAATCCTGGGCGCCTGCAGTGAAGGTGGAACTGCGTCTGATATCGTTGTCTGTAGTCCACACAGGCCAGGCGATTCACTGTAACCATAACCTTGTAGAGGATGATCAGTTTCCGTTGCGGAACACTGACGAAATACATTAGTGCCTTTCCTGGTCGTGGCACGGCTCGAGCTGCAAGATGGTGCAACCGAGAACACGGGGAGCCAAACGCAGCCAGCTCGTCTTCCTCATGACGAGAGGAGCCGCCATTCGCGGCTTTGCCGCGCTCAAACCGCGTGTACAGCGGTTAGAGAATTTAAACCATGAATGTCTCTCTAACATGTCTTGTAACATGCTGGCTCTGTTAGGAGACGTCACTGTATGGCTCTCCTATACATGCGCTCCCCAGCACGTCTGCATTCCTTAAGGCGGATTGTAAAATGTACCCTAATGCACTTATGGCCGTAGAATTATGCTGTAATAACTAAGAATAGCGTGCTATTTATTCCGTCACCACTGTAGCTATCTAGTCCAAGAATTAATTCGATCTGCACCATTCAGCCATAAACCAGCTACTTGACCCAAGACAGCCGGATAGCCCAAACTGCTGTAATGCTATGAACTGCGCAGTTATGAGAAATACGGTCCCATTTTGAAAGTGAACATTATTTCAGACACAAACATGCTAAGACGAACACAGACAGTCTATAATATGGCTTTACAATGACGTTATATAATGCACTAGGAAAAACATAAAAAAGGCGTTTGCGGGCGTTTGCGCCTCCTCTATGCATACGATAAGATGAAGCAATGACTGAAAAGCAAATACAGGAACGGAAAAGCATTAAGTTAAGCTACACTAGGTTTGCACTGGTAGAACCAGGCTTTCCTACAATTAAAACGTATTTGCCTTTCTACACAGAATGAATGACAATACATACCATGTCGGATGGGTTGTGTGCTTGTTGGTCTATGGAGGCAGACAACGACTGTGGTCGTTCCTTAGATGGAGTTCCACTGGCGGGTTAGGAGTGTGTATATTGGCCGTGGCCAGAATGGGGATTGTCTGTGTATCCCTCCGCCACACTAGAACTGATCACTTACTTCCTTATTTCAATTCAGGGCTGTTGCAGCACCACAGGCCTCAAGCAGAAAATGTGCCAATCACCGAGTGCCTGCAGTGCGTGAAGACTACTCTTACAGTAATATCAAGTGACTGCAAACCCCACGTTTATAGGATAATGTTTTCAGGGTGTAGGCTATATTAAAACTGTAGCCCGTATTTGCTGAATAGGCTACATAAAACAGTAAACATGAGCATCAAACCTCCAACAGATAATATGTTGTTTCCATTAAAACATGGATCTAGCCTACATCACTTGAAACATTTTCAAACAAATGTAAGTCATACATGAACAAGGTCCTTTAAGGAAAGTTTGAATGATGAATTCAGATGATGCAATGATGATGATGAATTGTTTCTATATATTGGGCTACTGTTTCACATGGATGTTTGCCTCATTTAATCACCTACTGGAGGCCACACTTTTTGTTTTATTAACATAACCTGCAAGAGATGATATTTTAGGTAGTTCATTGGTAGGGCCTGCAGGAGCTTTCAGGCAAAAGTAGATGAACTAGCAAAATAAGGTGACAAAGTTAAGCCTATATGCTATTGTGGGGTATTATGGCTTACATAAATAACATAATTCACTTTGAGCAGGCAGAAAACACAATCTGAAATTAACTGTAGTATCATCAATGTCCTAAACAAAAAAAAGATATATATGTACATGAAAGGAGTACACCAGGTTTTCTGTATATATATATGTGTGTGTGTGTGTGTGTGTTATAATGCAATATGTGTTCATCAAGAACCAAAACTTATTAATGCATTAGAAGTATTTGACAAATTGGCTGTAATGACAAAAACAAAGCTATCCTAAAATTCCATTAAGTCTATTATTGCTATTTAGGCTAATATTTCTGTAAATTTACCAAAGACCCAATTCATGTTGACAAAATGTGTTTTATCATCAATTTATGTATAATTTCATTGCTATACCATGTAGTATTTAACATCGGAATGAAACTCACGTTTAAAAATATTCAGACTGCACCTTTAAATTTGAGACCATAATTGTGAGCCCTCACAACTTCTCCAAATATATGTATTAATGAGCTTTACATAAAATCCTGAATGGCGCATTATGAAGCTGTCACCTGTCCATCTAGCTTGTTGTTATTCCACAGACAGCGTTATTGTCTGCTAACAGAGAACTAGTTTTCGGCCGCGGAAGGATACATCTGGTGTAGGCTGGAGCCTGGTTGTCGCTGGAGAATTTGCTGTGCCGGTGTGTGATGGCGTTTCTGATTGGCCGCTGCAGACCTGCAATATTATACTCCATGTGTCAGCCGCATTGATTGGCTACATGGGACCTGCATTGCACCAGGCAGTGGCACTTGGTAGAGATATAATAAATATAAATACAGGAAACTTAAAAACAAGCGCACCGTTCAGCTGTTTTATTATTGTCTATAATTATTTAGGTTTGTTTGGTCGCGACGTATGGAAAATGTGACTATGTGGTATGTGGTTTTCATTGGTGCGGGGTAAAGGTTTGATAGGCTCGATATGGGAAGTGCGCAGACGTACTATTGGCTATTAATACAAAGTCTGGTAGGCCTGCTTGAAATTAACAATAAAGCATGACAAAGTTGCTGCCCATTTGTTAGGGGGGTACAGAGGTGGGGTGCATTGTATTTCATTTAGAAAACGAGCTTGTTGGTTGTGTTATTTGCTCAAGATAACATATCTGCCCCCGGAATAGGACACTTAGGCAAGTATAATGACGACGCAGATTATAGCAAAGCAGATAGTATGGCGGTGCTGTCATAACAGTCCGCACATACTTATGAGTCCCCCCTACCCCCGCCTGTTTAAGCGTGTGAACAATACCTGCCAAAAGCACCACCCAGTGGACAAAGTGTAGAAGTCATGAACAGTCGTTACAGTAGCCACCCGGGAACACGGAAGAGAGATGTGCCAGGACACTTGATGAAGACAGGACAGGTCTTAATAAACAGTATGAAGAGTGTGGGGCCTACACTTAGGCTTAACCATATATGGGCCTACATGTCTTTAATTCACTGAAATGTGTTAGTCTATTATGGTTTCTGTTTTGATTCATTGGACAGAGGTCATCCCCATTCAAGGCTGCAGGTTTGCATCACTATAACATCACTAAACTAGACGAATAAGAATGGAAATAACGATACAACTTGAAATTTTTTAAGGGAACTTGGATAATTTACCATCCTTGATCAGAAAATCTTGTGAGACCTATTTCAAACTGACAGGGTTTACAGTGTACCTTACTGTAGCAAGAACTAAAAGGGGATACAGTAGATATTCATTGTGTGTGCATTTGTATTAAGGATGGGACGGTATATCTACATTCAATATATTGCAATACAAAAGCGTCACAATATGTATTGTTTTGTCTAGCGACATATAACAAAACATAGCAGCTAGTCATACATTGTTGACATTGAATTTTTGATTGTATTGTGATTGAATCGAATCGTACACACGATATCATGCACTGAACTGTATTAAGAAAAACTCACATCACCCTTTCCCTAATATGTACTGTATGCAGTATTATTTTCACTAACGTAACTGTTACACTGATGGCTGATACACCTAATGTTAACCCAGATAAACACTGAAGAAAAACATTTTTTAGTTCATGTTAACTTATTTTTATGAACACAGTGTAGCAAATCTCTGCAGTCCAGACTATTTGCAGTCTCCTCATTAGGTTAAGTAACTCTAACCCAAGTTGAGCTGTTCCATTTGTTAATCTACTGGAACTAATCAGGACTTACTGAATGTGTTCAGTGTTTTGTCCTCTTTATCAACAGAAATGTCTATTACATAAGCATGCTTCTTACTGCTTTGCCTCTCCCACTCTTTCTCATACAATATTATTACTGTACATTGTACAGCAGCACCAGGCATTGTTGTTTATTTTCCTGGAATACAAAAGAGTTTACGTGAGGTATCTGATAACAGTTAGTCAAGATTCTACATGGCTGTCATAATAATTCAGGTTAGGAATTGGTAAGCAGTAGATTGTATGGTAGTCTTTAGTAGGGGTGTGATGATAGACTTAACTCATGAGATGATATTTTAACATATGACAGGCTTAGTACTTAACTCATGAGATGAGATGATATTTTAACATATGACAGGAAAAATTGTATTTTATTCAAATGAAAGTCACAAAATGCATAAGAAGACAGGTGCATGTTGAACTGTTTTAACTAATCATCTTGTAATAAGTGTCACTTCAGTTCTACTTTGAGTTTGGATTATCATATGCAGTAAAAGACAATATACAAGCAGTGTAAAAGGTTTTGCCACAAACTCAACTGACTAGCTTCTCTCCTGTATGATTTTGTATGAGCCTTTTCAGACCTTAGAACTGTGCATGAACTATGCTTGAGCTTCTAATTTCTAACTGAAGCTGTGTGTGACCTTCTGTGCTATTTTCACCCTCAAGGCACTGCACCGGACAGTGACATCGTCCAGCAAACGCGCTGCATTGACCAGTCACATACAGGAGAAATTCAGGATGTGGACGCCCATGGGAAGAAGACTTTTGTTTATCTTGTTAGCTTGAGAATTCACTGCTATTCGCTGTCAGATTTGGACGACAATGAACACATCATAATGACACATCATGCGTTTTCATTAGTACTGGATGTTAAACTTTTTTTTTTTTAAATCTATCAGTGCCGACACACTGGTGGTAGAATTGGTACAGTAGGCAGCATGGCTAACCAGAACACAACAGAAACTCATGGGGTGGAAACATGGATGAAGTCATTCACGTTGATGCATCATAAAGTGGTCATATTATACATCCCTGCAACCCCTCACCTCCCTGATCAACGTAGCCCTGTGCGTTAAAACACAGCAGGCAGTTAGGTTTTTGCCACTAATGTGAAGATATCATCACACTGTGTCACACTGGCTTCTGCTCTGCTTCTGTGATGTACTGATATCATGAGACAGCTTTTGCCTTGAGGAGAATTATAGTCATGTTTTAATATTGCCTCGTCACACCCGTAATCTTTGAGGTTTCTTGAGAAGTTCCTTGTTCATTCATGTGTTTGAGAATGTATTGTGAAGGCTTTTATATGAAATGCATTATCTAAGAGCAGTCTGGTCACATTGCAGCTGAACAATAATGTGGAGAATGCTAACACTATGGTCAGTCTTGCCATATCATCCCATATCAGTATGTGTGAGCTCACAGGGGAGGTTTAGAGATACCCAACCCTGAGTATGCCTTGAGCTGACAGGGCAAATTCCACATTAGAACACACACCCCTCTTCTTGTAAAGCTCCCAGACGCTCTAGCCCAGCATGTCACGCTTGATTTAAGTGCCGTTTTTTTTTTTTCCCCCTTCCTATTGCTGAATGTGCTGACTGATTTAATAAGGAGAGTGATTCTGAGGAGGGGGCTGCAGTGCAACAGCGGCTCACCCGCATCCAGAGATGGCCCTGTTAAATGGTTAGATGCTTGCAGCATGGGGCCACTTTCTGCTGAGCACTGAGTTACACATGGCTCCACAGAGGAATTAAATCAGCACTGCTGTTCTCCGCATCTCAGACACGCAATAAAGGCAGCTTAGCTGAATTTATTTAATCATGTTGTAATAACTTAAAGGCTTATTTGAAGATGGCAAAATCTAATCAGCCTGTACTCATCTCCCTACCATAGATACATGTATATGAAATAAACAAACATGCACCAAAAGCCGCATTAACCCCTCTCTATTACTTAGGAACAGTCCCTTTTAAAGACTTAAAAGCAAAGCATTAGTACACTGATATTATGCAGCTCCTGGAGTCTAAGTTAAAGGTTACAGTAAGGGTGTTTTACCTTATTGTGTATCCCCAACATTTAATTATGTGTCTGCGATGTCATCCATTGTGTGGGAGTCATAAGGAATATTGTATTAATCAGTGAAAAGAGTCAATTCCCTCGGGC